TCATTCAGTGTTTAATTTCATGTAAAATTAGTTCCCAACATTTAAACATTGGCTCTGGGAGGTCTAAAGACTGGTGTTACAGGACCCATGGGTGACGAAAGCCCTGGATTGACACCCTGGCTAAGTCACTTGGGCTGAGTAATGGAGAAACTGCTGTTTCTGAGGATGACACAGAGGCTATGAATAGCCTCAGAGCCAGGTGAGTGCTGATACCTGCCTGTCCACTTGTGCCACAGTCCCAAGGGCTGGGCACTTTTCAGTTGATGGCTCAGCCCACGGACTGTGCCTCTTCCTGATGCCACTGAAGACAGTCAGGAAGAGATGGCCACACCGCTGAGCCCGTGGGGGAGGGAAGCTTTCCTCTTTGGAAGAAGGTAATGATGATGCTTGGTTTTCTAAAGATGGTGGAAGGAGTAACACGAGTGAAGGAAGCTGGTACTTGGTCCAGGTCCTGGGGCCGGGGGGGGGGGCGGGGGGGGTGTCACTGCATATCTGGTGCTTCGGCCAGGCGGGACACGCTCTCCTAGAACACATAGATAGGAAGGTAGTCACTGTACTGATGCTGTACTGTGTTGGGAACAAATTGTGTAAACAAGGCTTTGTAACTAACTTTGTGGTTTTTGCAAATAAAAACGCTGTAACTCCTGTAATCGGCACTGCAGTTCAGCCTCTGCTTCGGCAGGGTGCTGTAACTGTCGTCGCTGGCCAGCTTAATAAAGGTTCCTAAATCTTGATCTGAGTCCCTGGTGGTCGTCTCCACGGGTCGCCCCATTACAAGACCTCAGCCTGGCCTCCAGGGCCCCTGTGTTTCCCCCCACCTCACCTCTTTCAAAGCCTTTCAGCTCATGGTCAATGTCACAGCTTTTGCTTGAAAGTGCCCTGATCTCCCCCAGCTCTGGGCTGGTTTTGGCTCATTCCCCCTCCTCTCCACATCTTTGTGTCTCTGCCCCTCAAATGTGCTCCCCCAAGCAGATACCTCCCCAGTTCCTGTCTTCCACAGTCCCTTGGCTAACTCCTCAGTCCCCTGTCTTCCACAATCCCCTGGCTAACTCCTCAGTTTCTGTCTTGCTGTGTTGCCTATTCAAGGCTTGTCTCCCTTGCCTTTCTCACCCTGTCCCAATAACCAGCTCCTCAATGACAAGTGAGAAGGCCTTCACATACCTGACCTTGGAGTCAGACAGATTCCAAGGGAATGAGGGCAGCTCTTCCCAAGTAGGGCTGCTCATGCTTCAGTGGGTGAGGATAAACTGAGGCCCGCCAGGAGCAGGATTAAGGGACAAGCGGTACCACTAGGGCTGGGTGAGCTGAGGGCCTGAAACTGATGCATGGGGTGAATCCTCTCTTCCTCTTTCAAATTGACAGTATGCACTGATACGGGGTAACCTGGGAGATGGGCCGGGGGGCCAGGTGGGGCAGGGAGTCAGTGGGCTCCCCCTTCAGGTCACAATTGTGAGAAAGGGGGAGGCATTTCCCAGGAAAGAGTGAGGCCCCGTCCTGAGCTGACCTGGAGAGCAGCTGGGGCTTCACTGAGTGACCGAGTCCTCCTAGACCAGGAATACAGAGAAGGGGACTGTGAACCTCCATGAAAGGCCCAAACTAGCATTCTCACGAGGCTAGGACACTCTGCTCTGACCTCATGACGTAGCTCGGGTCAGCATTTTGCGGCCCACCCCCTTCCCAGGAGTTGGTTCAGTCTGGCAGGAAAGCCCAGAGCTGGTCCCAGCTCAAGTCCACCTGGCTCCAAGTCTGGCTGCCACCCTCTTCTCTGGCCCCTCAGACCTCTGAGCCCCTGCAAAGGAGACCCATTGCTGTCTGAGCCCCAAACCCTGAGCAAAGACTGTTTAGACTCTGCCCATCGCTGGTGGCATAGTACTTAACAGGTGACAGACTCTTCTCTCTCTCTCTCTCTCTCTCTCTCTTTCTCTCCCTGGTGGCATAGTACTTAACAGGTGACAGACTCCTCTCTCTCTCTCTCTCATTTTATCCTCCGAACAGGTCGGGAAAAGGCAGAGTAAAGATTATCCTCACACCCTTATTCTTATTCTTCAGAGAGGAACCTGAGGCCCAGAGAGGTCTGGGAGGACTGGCACAGGCTGGTGGCGGGGACTCCAGGGTTCTCCCACCCCTGAACAGTGCTTTCCTCTCCCTGGGCCTCAGTTTCCCATCTGGAGGGCACAGATGCTCTCCTAGGACCCCTGCCTGGTAACCCCTTGCTGTGGGCCTCCCATGCCTCGCGGGCCGCTGTGGAGTCCCCCTCAGCATGTGGGGTCAATCCCACACCCGCAGTTCCTCCCACTCAGTTCCCTTTCTCTTCCTGTCTTGCTTTTTCCCTTTCCCTGCACTCCCTATGCACTGACCCCGGTCTGTTTTGGGGCGAGTGGGGGTGGGAGGGGAGCCAGTAGCCCTGGTGGAGGGGCAGAGGATAAAGAGGCAATGTACAAAGACCCTGCGACCTCAGACCCAGGTGAAAAGTTATGAACTTGGGTGCTGCTGTGAGACAGGAAGGAATGGGAGGGCCGCAGGATGCACAGAAAATGTGTGTGTGGTTCATTTAATCCTCCAGTCCATTCACGTGTACGGCGGAGTCAGATCCAGTCCTGGTGGAGGGCTGGGGCCTGTGGGAGCAGACAGGCCCAGGCAGTTTCCAGTTTTGCAGGAAGATCTGACCTCCAGGAGCATCTACAGACAGGACAAGCCTCTGGTCACCGTTGGGAGCTGTCTCCTCCTGCCACTACTCACTCCAATCGGCCTCTCACTCCACCTTTCTTTGACTGACTCTCAGTGCCACTATGTCCCTTGGTCTATGCTTGCAGGGCCTATGGGGGTGGAGGGGAGGGCGGGAAGGGGTAGCCCTATAGTCCAGTGGTCGGCAAACTCATTTGTCAACAGAGCCAAATATCAACAGTACAACGATTGAAATTTCTTTTGAGAGCCAAATTTTTTAAACTTAAACGATATAGGTAGGTACATTGTTATTAACTTAATTAGGGTACTCCTAAGGCTTAGGAAGAGCCACACTCAAGGGGCCAAAGAGCCGCATGTGGCTCGCGAGCCGCAGTTTGCCGACCATGGCCCTATACAAATGTAGGCATTCGTTACAGTCAAATAAAAACATACAGATGCTCATATTTTGGAGCTAACCACGTTTTAACATTTGTTCCCTTTTTGAAGTTAATCTATTGGGACCCTCACAAAATGGAACTGGTCCCCTTTTTGCGAGGTCTTACCTGTCCTCAGGTCTCTGGTCCTGGTGAAGTTCAGAGGACATCGGGCTCTGCCGCCTCACCAGTCGGCTGCGTTACCCACCGAGGCCGGCAGGGTGCGCCCGCG